TTTGGAAATCTGCATCATGTAACAAGTTATTTTTTCATCCAGTGTTTAAATGTGGTTGTCCTTGGGCATGTGCTAGCTGCGTGTTACCCATTGGTATTCACAAAGTTGAAGAGAACTTCTTTCTATGTAGTCCTTGCATTATATGCTACCACAAAAAAAGGACATGAGGTATGCCCCTACTTTTTATGGGGGAAAACAATCTTAAAACAGGTATTGCTAAATTCAAGAATAATGTAACCAGTTTTGGTATCTGTAAATTCTGTCAGAACACTTAGCAACTTTTTTTATGAAAAACGAAATGCTTGTTCCTTGTCTTTTTGCAAGGCACTACAAAAATTTGCTACCCAAATTGCAGTAAAATTAATGGGAAGTCATTCTGGAAAAGTTTTAATTAAAAACAGTAGGTAGCAGCATGAGGAGTGAAGGAAGACATGCGGAGTATGGTCAGGTATTTTGACTGCAGCTTTTTATACGCATCATGTCAGTGAGTTTAATTGTTCATAAAAAAGATATTAACATTTTTATTAATCCAAACAAAAAGCAAATTCATTAATGCCATGAGAGAATAATTATCAGATCGTCCACAGGTAGTTATGTAGCTAATGACCTGAAGATGGGAGTGTAATTAAAGCCTTCACTCACTGGCTTCACTCACTCCAATATCTTTTTCTGTCTCTTCATTTATGTTCTATTCATTAAAACTGTACAGCTCATTAACTCATTAATAACCACAGAATGCAAATGCAGTGAAGTAGAGTGAATTTAATGTCTCCTTGGTTGTGAAGTATGTTCCAGTGCTGGGGTGATAATTTTTTACAACTGCTATTAGAGGGTTTCTGTCAATGAAAGAAGCTCCTCCATAAAAAAAAAAAAATAAAAGCCAACAAAAATTAATATTTCACTGTTAAATAGTAAAACCATCCACCAGACAAGTAAGGGAATGAACTGCTGTTTGAAAAGATACATTTCAGAATGTTATTCTCTTTACTTTCTTGAAATAAAGGGCTGTTTCTAAAGATACCAATCTTGCCCTTTTTTCCCCATTGTAATATAGGAAAAACTATCTGCGTCTTTTCGTTGAGATTATTCCATTAACAAAACTCTAAAAAAACACGAACAGAGGTTAGGCAGAAAAACTGGAATGATTTATGCATAATAATTAGTTGCATATATCATATATGTGTGTCAGAGGGTTTTTTCCTCAAATCTGAGATCTACTTGGGCCAGCTGAGGAATCTGTTCCAGACAAGCATCTTGCCACCTGATCCTGCAAACCCTACATTCACTCAGCTTCCACTTAACTCACTGAAAACCTTTTGAGTCAAGACCTAATAGTAAAAGATCTCATAATGAAAACACTATTTCAGAGCTATTTGATTTCCGCTTGTTATTAAAAGTCCATTGATGCCAGGACATAGACTTAAGGTAACTTCTAGTGAGAAGGATGGCCTCGCAGACCGCCTTCAAGAGACTTGGTGTCAGTCCTTGGCTATGCCATGTTTCCTCTGAGCATCCTTGCCTAAGCCCTCAAGGGCCAGAATTTCAAAACAGCTCCACTTCCACTGTCCTGATCTCAGGAAAAATATCACTGCTTAATGGGAGGTCTTTTTAGACTTTCTTTTTTTGTGACCTTTAATTATTCTATGCCTCAAATTCCCATCTTTAAAAGGAAGATACAGGTTTCTCTGTCACTGTTATAACAAAGTTTTCCTTGGTGGCAGAAAAGTAGTAAGAGGAGGAGTGCTCATGGAGGTACTGCTGTAGTAAGAAAATACTAACTTCAGCGTTTTGTTTTATATAGTGTGACATATTTGGGGTGCATTACATGTTGCTGTTATTCATAATTAAATCACTGATGGGACACCAGTTCACCCAGATCAAACTACTAGGCAGTTCAGTAAGCTTTAAAAAATGACTATACCTTTACAAGTATCATAGCAAAAAAAGTTAATTAACAAGGCACTTAATCACATTTTTGGGCACCAATACATCAGGTATAGATGTCATTTTCATTAATATCCTCCAATATTTATATTTCTCAAGACTCTGTAAAAGTACTGTTAATGGACTTGAGAAGAAGAGATAATTTTCTTGCTGAACTGAGTCTGTGTGATTAAGCGCTCAGTCTCTGGTAACAAATGAATGCAACAACCTTTAAATCCTTTCCATACAGACAAATTAATGTATTTCTCATAATAATATTGCTGGAAATCTAGACAGGCCAGTGCATCTTTGTGACTTTCTCTGCATGAGTCAGATTTACAATGCTGCACTGAAAAAAAAAAGAAAGGGCTATGATGACAAGTTGATAAACAGGTTAAAACAATATAATTTGCACTGTGTCATTTGTATGCTGTCAGCATACATATAATTCCAAAAATTACCATGGGTAAATCCATTATAGGTCTGCTAAGTGCTGCTGCTGGGTACATTGAGTCCTGATGCCTCATCATGCTTTATACCCGTTAGCAATTTGCATGGCAGAGCTACATAGCTCTTAACTGAAAGATGAAAGTCACACTTCTTATTCCAGTAGTGTTGACATTTAAATTTGATGTCAATGTTAGTCTCATCCTAATTTCAAAATCCCTTGTGCTAATAGTGCTTAAGCCTTAATTGCACATTTAATCATCAGAATTACAGAATCACTCTGGTAAGTTAGACAGAAAAAAACGCAATGGACATAGATACCAAAGCAAATCAAATAGGAAACACAAAGAAAAGAAGTCATTTTCTATTTCACAGAAAACATTAAACATGTTTTTCAACCAATCAGCACAAATGGTGAAATATGAGATCCCTGTAAATATCACCTTTGTGCTGCTAAATGTTGTGTGCTTACTGTGACGAAATATCTAAAATTTGTCTGTTTATCTAGAACTCTAAATTGACGAAGGGACTTACTGCCTGCAACTAAACTCAAGTCAGGGACATGGAGTTTTGTGTAGCTGGCTTTTTTTTTTTTTTGAAGCTCTGCACACCAAAAATAAACCCCCATAAAAAGTATTTTGTATTTGAAGGGAGAGACAGATTTTTAACGTGGTAATTAAAATAGTTGGCCTCAAACAGAAAATCAATCCTATCTACAGGCTCTCTGAACACTTCAAGACTATCAATGAACTTGCTAAATGACTACAGTCACCAAGGAAATAAATGTTACAAAGTTTGTGAAATAATGAACTTAAACTGAAAGCTAAGATAGTCAAGAATGTTCAGTGTTAATGCTGAAATGTCAGAACTGCAATTTATGTATCAGTGTATGGATTTCATGCAGCATAACTATTTTGAGAAAAGTCAAAATAAGATTTTGAGCCAGAGTCCATAGACATTAGAGAAAGTCTTACTACATGTGTTACCATAACACATTTGTTACTGACATTTCTTTATACAGTGAAAATCTTTTTGTTAGGTCCGTAATGCCGAACAAATTACATTCTGATTTCATAATTATGCTGCCAGCTACTATCGCAGTGTTAGAACTGGGCAAAAATAGATCTCACTTTTTCAGAAAAAGTCACCCTTTTCTCACTGAAAAGTGATTTGTTCATGAAAACTTTAAAAGCTTTTTATAAAGAATCCAAAAGTATGAAACTGATCTGGAAGCTGCTCAAAGACAGGATGAAAGGCATAATCTAATCCTGTTTCTGACAGTGGGAATAGGTTTGCTTTTGTATCCAGCTAAATTCTACAGTCTATGCTCAGCAAATTGATTAGACTGCTTCTAGTTTAACTGCCATCAAAACCAAATTGATACTATGAGGAAAAATAAAAATGATAAATTAAGATGTTTTTGACAACAAAAACTGTGTTTGTTCATGAACTGGAAGCAGAAACTACTGATCTTTTGATACTCTATCTGATCATTACAGTTGTTGCTATTAGCATTCAAGATAGCACAAAAGCAAAGAGAAGCTCAAAGTGCAGAGCAATGTTGAATTAAAAGACTAAAATTAGAAGTCTTTAAGATGCAAGTTTTCTTTCAGGCTTCAGAGGTGCATGGTGACGTCTGAAGGGACCTCTCTTCTATGATAAGCATCATATTGTCTTTTGCTGCATCTTGAGATGCTGCAGTAATCAATGGCATTACAGCGATAAGTGCTTTTGAATCACAGACAGTACACTCAGTACACTGTTGTATTGCATCTTGGGTCATCAAATCCTGAAAAGTCCAGTGTATGGATGGCATTCGTTCCTTTCCATGATCAGGTGTAAATTAAGTCAGAAAATCTTAGAACCTCTGCCTTGTGAACCTGTCAGTTCTCAGTGCCATTTGCTTTGACATCAGGTACCTGTTGCTGGTCAAACCAAACCATCCCAACATAAACTGCCAACACCAGCATGTTGACACCAACACTTTGCTGTCAATAATTCCCAGCTGCATCGATACCAACGCCATGTTGCTTGAGGTTGTGCTTCAGTATTTCCTTGAATACTTCCATCTGACTGCCCTGCTGACATACTCCCTCTTTCAGTTCACCAAATAACATCTGACTTGGCAGTCTTCTAAAACTGTTGTCTTCCATTCCAGATATAAGACCAGCCCAGTGAAGTGTGCGGTAATGATCATGGTTTCAGCTCTGTGGAAGACTGCTATGCTCTAAAATGATTTGTAAGAAAACTTCCTCCTACCTTGAATGCACAGCGTGGTAAGCAGATGAAATCTCTCCTGAGCTGTATGCGTTATCAGTAGCAAATCTGTGCCTTCTTGTATAGAAAATTAGATAAAGCATCCACTTTGCAGACCTTTAATTTAATCTAGAGACTGATACTGTATTGCTTCCAAGCTTTATTTCTTAAAAAAAAAAAAAACAACAAAAGATGGAGAGGCTGTGCTAATGATATTTGACAGCTCTTTGTCCAAGAGAACACCCTCCAATAATGTATTTCCAAAATAGCAAAAATTTTCATGGCTAACATATGTTGTGAATTATAATGACAGGCTGTGATACAAAATAACATGCATGATGTCTTTTTTCCCCAAGTTTATTACTAGTCTATACCTCTCCGACCAAGCTTATAATCAGCTTCATGATTTTTTGTGTACGTGCTTGCTTCCGTGGGGCAGTTATCAGCAAATCAATGTGATTCAGTGCTTGTAAAAACGTCATGGTCTGTTCAGCTGCATTCACAAAACAGTGCTGGCCCATCAGTGATACAAGGATCAGCTTGCACCATCTGCCAGGCTTTCTGTCACAGAACAGTCTCATGATACCGTCACAGCTACTCATCTTAACTTGCTGTGGATGCCTTCCTGGCTTGCATCTGATTCTGTCTCTGCTTGCATTCTTGAGAAACAATCCTCTGCCTCTCAGGGCATGCTAAAATCCCAAGGCTCCTGAAGGAATTTTACAGGTGTTTCAGATTTTTGTCTTGGAGAAACTAACTTGCAGGTCATTGTGAAAGTCCGGGTCTTGACAGTGTCAAATGCTTTGGTCAAATTCACTGATAAGAAACAGAACAGATAGGCTATTCTGTACTTCTCCGACAAACACCTCACTGACTGCATCTCTTCTGCATTTTAAGCTCTGTCATGAGTCAAAGAGCATGTACTGGACTGTATTATTCTCAAAAAAGCATTCTAGTACTGGGCTATGCAAGATAAGATAATTTTTGCTGTCTGTTTTTACTTTTTTTTTAATTGTCAGTGGTAAAGAAAATGACACTTTTGAAATCCTGCCTTTCCTATGTTTTCCAGTTTGAGGGGACAAAGAAAGCCCTGAGAGACCATTTTGAGGGAGTAGAGGGATGTGTACCACTCATAGTGATTGCTGACGGGATGTGTCTGAAGCAAGGCACCAGTACACTGCATTTTCTAATAGATCTGTATATCTATTCATCAGTTCATCCACTTGATTCTGTTTCTTTCTTAGTGTTTGTCAAGGTTTTCACTGACTCTGAACACACTTATCTCTTTTTGCTAGGTCTTTTATTCCCTCTGACAGCCCAGCAGAACCTCCAAATGAAAAGCTTTTGTATTATTTATAGAACTTATGCATAGATCCCCATAATGATACCTGAAGCTCCACAAAGCCTGTGGTGGGTTTTCTTCATTTATAACTATTTTATAACTCTGTAACTCTTGGCTTGGGTTAGGTATGAAATAGGTTTTATTTGGGTACCTGTCTAGCCCAGTGTTGCATACAGAGCCCTGATTCTAGATCAGTCCTTTTCTTCCACTCTTTATTGATGACCCTTCATAAATCAATCTGGGCTCAGTTTTGCTCTGTCACTCATGAGCTATGAAGTCATCAGGAGCTTGCAGACATAAATCAGGTAGCCAGGGCTCATTGTGCATTCATTGTTCACGCAGCAACGGTTTGAGATAAAAACCCAGATAAAACATAATACAAGCTCTACAAGCAGTAGGATACTATACTCTTGGCAACAAAACACCTTGTATATCATCTTTGTTATTTTTAAAAGTCAGTGAATGGGGCCACACACACAATATTCAGAGGTATTAATGTGCCTAATGGCTTGCTCACAATTTTGGTATCTATCTGGCTGTAAATATAAAACAAAATATTTACAGTAAATTGACATTATTTGCCTGATCTGTTCCCTGCTGCTGTTTAATACTTGCAACTCTCACCAATTTCTGACAGCTGAAGATGTTCAGCATTTGCAAATATCACAGAACTCGCTCCTCTGTTTATACAGAACTGAGTTCCTGGTCTGGGAGCAGATCCTTAGCGCCACTCAGAAAAGTACTTGGGCCACAAGCTCATGTGTAAAGCTCTCACATAATCTATGTAATACAGATGAAGCAGCCTGTATTCCTTCCACCAGACAGGAAGAAGTCTGGAACTGGACTACCAGAAGGACATATAGAGCTCAGCCTTCATTCAGCTTTGATCTCCTGCTGCGACCAGCCAGACCAAAACACACTATGTTATAGCCACAGCGTACAGTATTTCTGTCCAGGGTTTTGAAAAACTTTGGACTTGCTGCATATATGTCATGCAATTTTTTTTTGTATATGCACAATATATCTGATGCAGCCAAGAATGCTTCTGCTTAGTGCATATGTACAGAGCTTCCCACAAAAGCAGGACTCACTATGCAGATCTTCAGCCCAAATACCCCTAAGCCACAACTAGCATCTCCACTTACACTGGGAAGTGTCTGAGACTTTCAAACATATGGCAGCAGAGTGAGAGCTCCTGGGCGCATACAGTACTGTCTCACATTTCCATCTGCTAGTTCTACCAGGTCAGACACAAATTCTTCAGAAAATTAGTGGACAATTTTTTCCAGCAGAAAGAGGATACATCCACAACCACTAGGCATACAACAGACTTGCATATTTTTATATTTGAAAAAGGCAACACCTACACTTGACATGGTTTCTTAAGATAAAGGCAAAGCTCTGTATTGGTATTCTGGTGTAGTCTTGCAAAAAACGAGGAAGAGCAGCGTCATCAATTCTGTTGTCCTAGAAGTCCAAAGCAGGCTGGAGAATGGACAGGTCCAGCATTGTTCTGGTCCAACTAATCATTTAATCACTGAAAGAATTTTAATGAATGCTATAAGAAAAAACATTAATTATCACCTTGACCATAAATGTTTTATTTGAATTATGCAGTATAAGCAAATAGAATTACATCCTCGTTTTCAGAATTAACTAGCGAGCTCTGAAAACACCTTTTTGCTTTGCATCTGCCACTCTGTGTATCAAACAATCAAATAACTCTTAAATCTCATCAAATGAACTCCCAAAGTCATTGAAGAGATAATAAACTAGGTTACAACACTCATCTGGTATACAGTTAAATGTCTTTCCTATATCTTTAAGCGCTTATTAATCTCTGAATTAGTTTAGAATACATTAACCTTCAAGGTAAATTAGATCAATCAAGAAAATGACTTACAAGACTAGGTCTATCTTTTTTGCTCAAATTTGGAGTGTGTGCCAAGAATATAACAGCAGCAGGGAGAAAGCATTCAAATGCAGCTTTTCCCTGAAAGTATGACATTTATCATGGAGAGAGGCTGGACATTCATAGTCTTCCTGATGCTTATGGATAAAGCTGTTCGTTTGGATAAGAGGAATCAAGGACCAGACCAGAACAAAATGCTTACAGTTGTGCTGAAGGGGAATTATGGTGTGAATGCAGAATGACATGAAGCCCATGAAAATTAGGTGTAATCATATCCTCAGCTCAATTTATTTTCCACTCTCGGGTTTATTTTAGCCTTGTTTACTTTAATTATAGAAGTGGCTGAAAAGCTTATTCTGTTCCATTTTGCATATGGCACACAGTCCAGACATTTGTCACATTCTGCTTCAAAATTACTTCAATCTTCAACTTTTTGACTTCAGATCTTACAGAAAAGAGGTACTTAAATACTGATGTGGGAACGGACCACCATTACAGTTATTATACGTAATGTCATGCTGGGCATTTTTCTAAGAACCTATGAATTCAATATTTAGCCACTATTTTCTAAAGGAATATGAGAATATTAATACTGAGTAGCAAGAAGACTAACCTGAAGTCAAGTGGTTTTTAATGTGAATGACTGATGGTGAAAGCTTTGTGGTGGTTTTAAGCTAACAATTTATTTTGTTATTGCAAAATGCCATGCATAGTTATCCTGGCTTAGCTGACAAGTGATAAGTCACTGAGACAAACACAGGCTCTTTGTGAGAAGATAGTTAACTATTTTTACAGGATACTTCAGATCACACCAGTGATCGGTGTCACTACTTAGAATGCTATGTACCAAATCTACACTTAAAATCCTTAGCTATGTGAAGTGTCACAAGGGATGCACTTCCTCTAACTGTAGTTAGTGAAGCACAGCTTTTATGTGTAGTCATAACACACTGAAAAACTGAAGAAAATTGGTATCTTGAAAACCTTTCCTTTGGCTGGTAAGGGGATTACTGTATTAAAACTTCAAAGACCGCAGTTCGCCTTGACATCAGAATATCTAGAAGCATGAGATTTGCAGTGCTGATAGATGACATATTAAGACTCGATGTGCTGCTTTACAAATGGATAAAAAAATTTAAAACATAAATCAGACCACCTTTTAATACCAGTATAGCATGTTCCAAGGTAAAAGAGAATACAGATAGAACTTGCAAAGCAAGATCTGAGAGCATGATGGAAAGGAAGTAATACTGAATAGGGGCTCTGGTTTGCAGACACTGCATATTAAACACCTGACTTAGGAAAGCATTTTGCTGTTATCAAACTTTGGAAATATTTATACAGTCCTATTGTTTTCAGTGAGACTGCTTACAGGCTGGGATTACATGCACTTTTCAGGCCTTTGTTGGACCAGAATCTAAGGGCTGGAGCCTGCCCTTCTTGCCTCCGGGGCACAATATGATATAACCCAAGTAGTCTCATTTAAACCATTCCTCCAGTCCACCGTTACTTTCCAGCAGGGTCAAGAGCATCTTGCAGAAGGCAGATGATGCTAGCCCCAGATGAACAAGATGAATTGTCTTAGAGCATCATGCACTTACGGTCCCACAGAAGTCACACTGAGCAGACCGCAGGGCAGCTAAGGACCTGCACTGTGGTTGTCTGCAACGCTGCCCCTTTCTTGAGGCATTAGTTGTACCGGTTGTGAAGAATTTCAACGCAGGATGGTGAACTCTGCAGTAGAAGAGGGAGATCCAGCTACCACAACTAATCCCAGCTTCTCTTGAGCCTGTGTTTGTAGACTTTAGTACAACAAATGCAGGCAAACAGATCCTGGTTTGGGGCAGATCTCTAGAATATTACAGTCATTCAGCCAGCAGGGCCACAAAAATCGGCTCCTCAGCTCTTCCCTTCTGAGCTATTCTGCACCTGCTGAGATAACGTTCCCACTTCATCCTAATTGCAGAGAACTGAGTAAAAGCTTTGTCCTTGTGCATCTAGGAATAGACAGCATTTCAGCAATCTTGTTGCAATTAAATACAAGTCTGAATGTGCACACTGTAATTAAAAATATGTCTGTTTCTTTAAAATAAATCAGTTTTAATTGGCATTCTAATTGAAAGCCTATTAAATATAGCGATAAATGCTATCTGAGAGATTACTTAAAATCTTGACACCTACAAGATGCTTTACAAAGCTCTGAAAAGGTTGACTAATTCACCCTTGCA